CTGACCCAGAGACACTGCTGCCTTGTACTTAGCTATTTTCTTTCTGTTCCTGTGTGTGTGTGTGGACAATACAACATTATGTGACAGCCTTTAAAATGATACATAGGGTTTTAATTTTCCTACTAGTGTTGGTGTGTAGTTGAATAACTTCAGGTCATACCTGCTGGCCATGGCTCCCATTCCCAGCAGCAGAAAACCAACAAGAAGACACACAAAGGCCAGTCCCAGCAGCACAAACGTCCATATGGTTGCTGTAAAAGGAAGAATACAACACTCTAATAGCAGTAATATACAGCAGTGCTTTACAATAAATACCATTAGACCACAGAAAAAGGCTGTAAGAGGCAATGAGATATAAAAGATAACAGTCAGGAGAATGTGTTTTATACAGTCTTAGTGTTCCCCACAAGAAAGGTTTCTCTGAGCTCATCTCTAATCTCAGTTTAACACCTGGGCACACCTGCAACATTTATGACATCACTACTAATTTTAAGCCTGTCACGGTCCTGTATAAAACTAAATCATAGGACAAAGCTGCAGACTATGTGAAAGCTCCTATGACAAACCAATATAAAGATTTTTTCCACAGATGTTGTGGTGTTTAACAGTCAGGAAGGAGCATAAACATTACAAATGAACAAATCCACTGGCCAACACAGTGAACCACTGCCCAGTAACCACTGAACTTCTGCAGGTTGTTGATCCCACAAATCTGCCAAGAACACCAACTGTCATGTGAACTTGTACTAAACATGGATGTCAACCAGCAGCTCAGACTGTTTTGATGCAGAGATTTTTGTACTGAAATGGAGAAGTGTGATGGATTGTAGAGTCCTGGTTCTGTTGGAGGTTGCTTACATTAAACCTACAAGCACTGTCATAAAGTGCTTGCTCTTAGGGGATTTGATGGGTGTTTCTGTGTAATATGTGAGGTACTTCGAGATGATTTTTGTGATGTCCATCCATCCATCCATCCATCCATCCATTCATCCATCTTTCCATTTTCTTTTGCTTTTCCAAAATCAGGTCACAGTGGCAACAGGTACAGCAAGGTAGTCCAGATGTCCCTCTCCCCCGACAACATGTTCCGGCTCCTCTGGCAGGATTGAGTACACCTGGGAACACCTCAGTCTCAGGCGAGATGAGATATATAATATCTCCAGCGTGTTCTGAGTCTGCCCCGGGCTCTCATACTGGTTGGATGTGCCATGGAGGCATCCTGATAAGATGCCTGAACCACCTCAACTGACTCCTTTTGATGTGAAAGAGCAACAGTTCTACTCTGAGCCCCTTCCAGATGTCTGAACTCCACACCTTATCTCTAAGGCTAAGTCCAGGCACCCTACGAAAGAAAGTCATTTCAGCTGCTTGTATTTGTGATCTTATTCTTTCAGTCACTACCCACAACTCGTGACCATAGATGAGGGTTGGAGCATAGACTGACTGGTAAACTGAGAGCTTTGCCTTTCAGCTCAGCTCCCGCTTTACCACAACGGTCTGGTACAACATCCACATTACTGCTGATGTTGCCCATGTCTGCCTGTCAAACTCACGCTTGGTTTAACCCTCATTCATTAACAAGACCCCGGGATACTTAAACTCCTTCACTTGGAGCAGCAGAGATGCAGTTTTGAAGTCTGCAAACTGGACACTGCCCTCCCCCAAGCTGTGCCTTGAGATCCTGTCTGTGAAAATCACCAACAGGACTGTGACAAGGGACAGCCCATGTTGTGATGTGGTGCTATATAAATAAAGGTGAATTGAATTGAATAGAGCCTACATAGGAAACTGGAGCTGAGAGAACTTTGTAAACCAAAGTTAACTTCAAGTAAAGCTGGTTAGATATTGTACATCTTCCTCAACGACACTCAAGTGACTTCATCAGTCTCAGACATTGGTCACAAATATCAAATGTTTAAAAAAATCTTTCTGAGAGCAACTGCTGGCAACATATCACATACACATCACACTACATGAATGATCTGCCAGCTGCCTACAGCTACTCACCCAGACTTGGATAAAGTAAGTCTGACTAACCTGGACTGGAACAGGCCCTGTGTCACTGGATGAGTGCTGATCATGTAATTTTACTCACGTATGGTTCACCTGGACAGCAGTGGCAGTACATTTTACTACAGCTGCACTGGGCTTCATTCATTTCACATTGCAACATTTTTATATGATGAAATCCGTGCTGTCATTTACATAAGGTTTATGAAACATCTACTACTAATTTTAATTTTCTGTATTTTATCCTGTATTGATATTTTATGGTTTATTGTTCTGACAGCACCTTACAGGTAAAAG